CCCACATTGGAGCATGCCCCTGTCCCACTCAGTCCAAGTGGCTGTAGCTGTTTGGCTGGTGGAGGTGCACTATAAATAGCACCAGCAGATTGCTATCTGCACAAAGCAGATTGGTTTCCATCACCATGGCAACCCAGTCGGATTACAGGCACGTCATGCAATGTTTGTGCAAGTTCGGTCTTGATCCTGGTGTCAGGAACACTCTACAGCCAGTGCCGGATTGCATTAGAGTGCTTCGCCTGGTGCATCGGCCGGGTAACAGGAAGCCAGTGAGTCACGGTCTAGTGACAGGAAAATTTTCATCCAGTGTCATGCCCAGTTTCTGGGATCTCATTGTAGAAAGCAGATTGGGGATGTCAATGACTACTATCTGGTAAACTGACAAATGCTTAACTCAATTTCTGTTTTTTAAAATAAAAGCCTCGAGACTAAAGATATCGGGGAGGTTAGTGACTGGAGAATGGAACTGAGTGGCATCTGGGTGGTCAGTGACTGGAGAATGGAACTGTGTATATTTAGGTAGTCAGTGATTAGAGACTGGGACTGGGAGATAGCTGCGTGGTCAGTGAATTAAAGATATTTTTGGATTTGTGCCTGCTCTGACATTGTTATTTTGTGCAACTACTGATCGATCAGTTTGGACAGCTTGCCTTTGAAAAATGAGTAGCTCTGGTCGAATGTTCTCGGAACTTGAGTTTAGATGTCATCTTGTGGTTTGTCCTTTTGTGTTCTCTGAAAACATGGCATTCTCCTATGGTAGGGCGCAAAGATCTTTACTCGTACCTTCCTGTGCTTCTCTGCTGTGTAAATATAGTAACGTGTCTTCGCACATCTCCTTTAAATTTCTCCCTTTTTGCCTTAAACCTATGTCACCTAGCATTTGATATTGCAAACTGGAAAAGAGACTCTGACTATCTGCTGTATGCCTATTATAATTTTATATACTTCTATCAGGTTGCTCCTCAGCCTCTGAGTGAAAACAATCCCAGTTTGTCCAATAGCTAGTATAGTGTGATCCAGACAACATCCTGGTAAACTTGTTTTGCACCTTCTCTAAAGCCTCCATAGTGCGGTGACCACGACTGCACACAATACTCCAAATGTGGCCTAACTAAAGTTTTATACAGCTGCAGTGTCACTTACCAGGTTTTCTTCTCAGTGTCCTGACCAATGAAGGCAAGCATGCCGTCTGCTGTCTTTTCACATGTTGTCACTTTCAGACAGCAATAGATTTTTGCCCCAAGATCCCACTGTATATCAGTGCTGCTAAGGGTCTTGCCGTTTGCTGTATACCTTCCTCTTGTATTTGACCTCCAAAAATGCAGAACCTCACACTTGTCTAGATTTAATTCCATCTGCTATTTCTCTGCCCAACTTTCCAACTGATCCTGCCAACTACGTTCTCTCATCTTTAGCCACTGGTGCAGTTCCAGAAGACTGGAGAGTGGCTAATGTTGTTCTATTGTTTAAGAATGATAACAAAGACAAACCAGGGAACTACAGGCCAGTGAACCTGATATCAGTGGTAGGCAAGTTATTGGAGAGGATACTGAGGGACAGGATCAACCAACATTTGGATAGTCAAGGCTCGATTAGGATAGTCAGCTGGATTTGTGCACGGGAAGTCATGTCTGACAAATCTTTGAGTTTTTCGAAGAGTTAACCAAGATGATGGATGAGGGTATGTCAGTGGATGTTGTCTTTATGGACTTTAGCAAGACCTTTGACAAGGTCCCATATGACAGGCTAGTCACGAAAGTTAAGTCGCATGGGATCTAGGGAGAGATAGCTAATTGGATTCAAAATTAGCTAGGTGGCAGGAAGCAGAGGGTGATGGTTGAAGGTTGTCTCTCGAACCGGAGGCCTGTGACTAGTGGTGTGCCACAGGGTTCGGTGCTGGGACCTTTGTTATTTGTTATTTACGTAAATTATCCGGATGAGAATGTACAAGGCATGATTAGTAAGTTTACAGATGATATAAAATTAGGAGATATCATTGATAGCAAAGAAGGTTTTCAAAAATTACAGAGGGATCTTGATCAGATGGAGAAGTGGGCTGAGGATTGGCAAATGCAATACAATGTAGATAAGTGTGAGCTGTTGCATTTTGGAAAGTCAAACCAAGGTAGGACTTATACAGTAAATGGTAAGGTCTGAGGAGTGTTGTGGAACAGAGGGACCTAGGAGTACAAGTACATAGTTCATTGAAACCGGTGTCACAGGTGGACAGGATGGTGAAGAAGGCATTTAGCATTCAGGCCTTCATTGGTCAAGGCATTGAGTGTAGGAATTGGGATGTTATGTTACAGTTATATAAGTCGTTGGGGAGGCCGCGCTTGGAATGTTGTGTACAGTTTTAGTCACCCTTTTACAGGAAAGACATAGTTAAACTGGAAAGTGTGCCAAGAAGATTTATGAGAATGTTTCCAGGACTAGTAGGCCTGAGTTATATGGAGAGGTTGGCCAGGCTAGGACTTTATTCATTGGAACATAGGAGAATGAGGAGTGAACCTACTGAGGTGCATAAAATCATGAAGGGCATAGATAGGATGAATGCATATAGTTCTTATTCCCCCCCCAGAGATGTGGAAATGAAAACTAGAGGGCATAGGTTTAAGGTTAGCGGGGATAGATTTAAGAAGGACCTGAGGGGTAATTTCTTCACGCAGAGAGTGATGCGTGTATGGAATAGGCTGCCAGAGAAAGTGATTGAGGCAGGTCCAATAGCAACATTTAAAAAGCATTTGGATAGGTACACAGATAAGAAGAGTTTAGAGGGATATGGATCAAATGCGGGGAATTAGAACTAGCTGAGTGGGCAGCATGGACCAGTTTGGGATGAAGGGCCTGTCTCCATTCTGTATTACTCTATGACTCTATGATCTATAAAGCCATGCTGACTGATCCTAATAAGTCCATTATTTTCAAAATGTGAGTAAATCTTGCCCCTGTGAATCATCTGCAGTAATTTCCCTACAATGGATCTATGGCTCATTGACCTATAATTTCCTCGATTGTCCATATTACTTTGAAACAATGGAACAATGTTGGCTGTTCTCCAGTCTTCTGGGACTTCACCCATGCCTGAACAGGGTACAAAAATCTCTATCAAGGCCTTAGCAATCTCCTCCCTTGCCTCCTTCAGTATCCTGGGATAGATCCCATTGGGCCCTGGGGACTTATCAACCCTAATGTTTTACATGACACCTCCTTAATATAAACAAGCCCCTCTCTGAACTTACCATCATCCATGTCTTTCTCCTTGGTGAATACTGATGCAAAGTACTTATTCAGGACCTCACTAACTTCTTCTGACTCCATGCATCAATTTCCTCCTTAGTCTTTGAGTGGACCTACCCTTTCTCTAGTTACCCTATTGCTCCTAATATATGTGGAACTTGTCTCGGAATTCTCCTTATTCCTACTTGCCAAGAATATTTCATAGCCCCTTTTAGCTCTGCTAGTTCCTTGTTTAAGTTCTTTTCTACTTCATTTATGTTCATCAAGAGCCTTGTTTGATTTCAGTTTCATAAAGCTTACATATGCTTCCTTTTCCTTTTTGATTCAAGGTTTGACATGCTGTCTGCAATCCTGCTGTATGAACCATACCTCACAGACCATGTCCTGGTCACCACCACCCTGGGTAAGTCCTGTCTCGGCAGGACAGGCACAGCAGAGACAGCAGCAAAGTGGTATATGTTAAGTGGTGGATTACCCTGGAAGTTTTTAATATTGACTCCAGGCACCATAAAGTCTAATGATATCAGGTCAGATATGGGCAAGAAAGCATCCTGCGAATTATTACCTGCAACCTTCCCCAGTTTGTAGTTGTTTTTGTGGTTTGGATATCTTAATACTGTTACACCTATTGAGATACTTTTTGGGTAGTGTGCTCACGATGGCATGAATTTCTTTTCTGGTGGTCAACTTTATCACGGTTGGTGAAAGGTGGGTGTCATGAAAGCGAGAGACTGAAACTGGCAGGCAGGGTGTGGAAACAGTTCTAGACTGGACAATCTTACATCATTTTTATTGTCCAATTGATGGTGTGACTGAGGGCAAAGGTCTTGGTTTTTGACCCTTGTCAGTTGTGTGCAATGGGTCTACGTGTGTGTGTGGTCTATTTGCACGTACATGCAGTGAGTCTGCATGTGCACATGGTCAATGTGTGTGTGTGTAGACTTGGTGTTTCTGAAATTGTATATGATGTGAGCATCCATGGTGGTGGGCTGTGCGTGTGTATGTTGGGCATGGTGATAAGCAGTTTGTGGATGTTTGCACATGGTACGTGTGCCTGCCTGTCTGATCTGGTGTACAGTCCAGTGTGTTTTTGCAGAATCATTAAGGACAGAAGAGACCCTTCAGTCCGTCAGGTCTGCACCACCAAAAATGGACAACTGCCTATACTTTTGAACACTAGGTCCATAGCCTTGAATGTTATGACACTTCATGTGCTCACCCAGTACTTCTGTGTGGTTTCTTGTCTCAACTACCTTACCAGACAGTACATTCCAGACCGCCACCACCCTCTGGATGAAAAATAGCTTTCCTCAAATCCCCTCTGAGCCCTCTGCCTTTCACTTTAAAATTATTCCCCCTTCTTATCGACTCTTCAAAAGGGAGCAGTTGTTTTCTATCCACACTGTTAATGTTCCTCATGATCTTATAGATTACTATCAGATCCACCACCACCCGCACCCCGCCACATCCTCTCTGCTCTAAAAAAAAACAACCCGAGCTTATCCAGCCTCTCTTCGTAGCTGAAATGCTCCATCCCAGGGATCATCCTGGTGAATCTCCTCTGCACCCCCTCCAGTGCAATCACATGCATTCTACAGTGCAGTGACCAGAACTGTAAGTAGTACTCCAGTTGTGGCTCAATGAAAGTTTTGTACCCCTCCAACATGGCCTCCCTGCTGGAGCTGTTTTGTGCGTCATCTTCAGTTGGTGGTGGGGTGAGTCTGTTCTGTTATTTGAGATTCGCCATGTCCCTCTTTCAGATTCCAAGTCTCTCCTGCCATCCAAGCCAGGCCATGAGCTGAGACGCCTGAGATAAGCTGTTGGTAGAGAAGGCTGGACTTGCGCAATTGCTCTCTACGTCAGGGAGCTGTATGTTCCTGAGAAGTTGCAATGACCTAGTGGAGGATAGGCGAGAATGTCTCAGAAGAGAGCATGTCCACGTTTGCTGGATTACCTTGTTATCATCGGTGCCAGGTAATGATCTGTTTGGCTGCCTGAAGGTTTGGTGGTGGAGGGTAGATGTTGCTGACAGTCGCATTGCTGTGGATGGAGAGATGGGGCAGGGTGGACGGGCATCCACAAAAGGGAGGGGTTTATTGAATAGCTCTGCAAAAAGATTGCTGGAGCCGGATTTTAAGTCAGGACCTCTGCATGAGAAGGTCATCACAGGTGGCTTCCTTCATCCCCAGCAGCAATGTGTCTGTCCCTGGACGCGCTCCATATCAAACAGCAGGTCACCCGAAGAGGCTGGATGTCCAGTGCACTGTCACAGCACCACATGGTGCAAGACTGGCCTGAGATGGTACTGATCTGATGTTTCAGCATCACTGTTTATGAGGAGGATGTCCAGGACTGCAGCACTTGCCTGGTGAAAGCCAGCTGAGGGGGATGCTGTCTGCTTGCTGTCCTCTATTTTTTTTTGGAGTGGGGCAGGGGAAGAATGTTCTTAATGCAATGCCATTGGCTGGAGTGAGGAGGGAGGTACATCTGCATTTTCTGGGGTCATGAAGGTACGGTTGGAGTCCTCGCTGGAGGTGGTGGAATATTGCTGAAGTTTTCATTTGGTCTGTATTAGTGCAGCCTTGCCTCTGGGGTTAGCCATGTAATAATGAGGTGGGAGCAGAATTCAGCAGGAAGGTGGTTGGGTGTAGTCTGCAGTGGGAATGCTGTGCCTATTTAGCAGTGCTGTGTTAATCAGGAGCTGAGTTGCTGTTTGTTTCTGCGTGTGCAGGCAGCCGAGCAGCGAGAGCATTGCTCAGACCCCTGAGCTGCTGCGCCGTTACCCGCTAGAGGACCACCGGGACTTCCCCCTCCCGCCAGATGTGGTGTTCTTCTGCCAGCCCGAAGGATGTCTTAGCGTGAGGCAGAGGCGCACCAGTCTGCGCGACGATTCCTCCTTCGTCTTCACTCTGACTGATAAAGACAGCGGTGTGATTCGCTACGGGGTCTGTGTTAACTTCTACCGCTCCTTCCAGAAGCGCAGCCGCGACAGGCCAGACCGCAGCTTGCAGCATGCCAAGGATAGCGCTGCAGAGACGCCAGACACCGAGCAGAACAACTCCGACAGTGGCTCTTCCCTGGCCACTCACAGTGCTGACTCCACCCCTGACATCAGTCGCTCGCCCCGGCTGAAACGGCACCTGAAGAGTGGTAACCGATCCCGGAACAGTACCCTAACCTCGCTGTGTATACTGAGCCATTACCCATTCTTCTCCACCTTCCGTGAGTGTCTGTACACCCTCAAACGTTTAGTGGATAGTTGCAGCGAGCGGCTGCTTATTAAGAAAGCAGGAAGTCTGAAGGGCATTCAAAGGTGAGTTTGTACTTACTGACGTTTTGGGTGAGCTAGCAAATTTTGATGGGAGGAATAAGCAGGTCACTACAGTACTGAAATAAAAACAATATTGCAGATATTGTTCCAAAGAAGGGTCATCAGACTCAATGTTAACCCCATGTTTCTCTCCATTAGATGCTCCCAGACCTGTTGAGTATCTCCAGCACTTTCTGTTCTCACTTCACCCACAATACTGCTTGATTATTGGTGTCTAACTTGAGTAGAAGAGCAAAAAGATCTAGGATTCGTAAAATCCCTATAGTGTGGAAAGAGACTATTTGATTCATTGAGTCTGCAGAGAATCCCATCTAGTCGCAGCCACCTTCTCTAACCCTGTAACCCAGCATTTTACCTCAGCTAATCCCCCTGACCTGCACATCCACAGACTCTGCAGGGCAAATTAGCCTGAGTAACCTACCTAACCTGCACGTCTTTGGAGTTTGGGAGGAAACCCATGCCGACACAGGGAGAACACACAGTCATCCAGGGCTGAAATCGAATCTGTGTCCCTGGCGCTGTGAGGCAACAATGCTAACCACTGAGCCACCATGCTACCACGGTGACTGGGAGTCTCCAAATCATCGAGACTCTGATGCTGATTAATAAGACAATCAAATAACAAACTAAGCACCAATGTTCATCTCTTGATAGATAATATTGAAAAGCAGAAAAGTTATGTTGAACTTTGTGATAACCTTGGATAAACACTTGCAAAACTGTACTGTGTCATTCTGTTATGCAAAGGATAGATGCAGTAAAAAGTCAATGACCTTCTCTGTATCACAAGGTCAGAAATTGGTATGTTTACTTTTACTGATGAATTCATTGTTCAGTTCCATTTGCAATTCCTCTGCTAATAAAGCAGTCATCCACAGACATGAATAATGTATGATTGTGGGCTGATGAATGGCAAGTAACGTTGGTGCTGCACAAGTACCAGGTAATGACCATTTCCCATGGGATAATCTCTAACTCATGCCCACTTAAGATCGAAGTGGGGGGAGGTGGGGGTTACAGTTGGTCAAAACCTTGAATGGGGAAGTTACTTAGGAGACAACAAGGTGCAGGGCTGGATGAACACAGCAGGCCAAGCAGCATCATAGGAGCAGAAAGGCTGACGTTTCGGGCCTAGACCCTTCATCAGAAAAGGGTCTTTTCTGATGAAGGGTCT